TTCATATGGAGGTTCCCATCTACAGATGCTCTGAAACCTCCCTGAAATTTGGTCTCTGAGCTTAGATAAAATAAGGAAAATTTCTCAACCAATAGGTTAATTACCTATTAGTGTTCTCCACAATAATCTTTGAGTATCATTTCTTCTTACATTTATTTTTGTGTTCGTTTTTTAACCACCACATACAAAGAATAAATACCTTCAGAAAATTTCCTCTTGAAAATTGAGATTTGTGGTAATTTTTGTTCCCCAAAATCAAAATAATTTTCATATATGTCCACCAGCAAGACTCTTCTCTATTTCTCTTTCTGCCTGTAGATCGACTACGAAGTAAGCTGTCAGGGGGCAGGAATTCTAGAGAGGAAAGGCAGGAACTCCAAAAGCCTTAATTTTGTACCACCACAACTTGGCTGTCCTAACTTTAACATTATTTTACTTATGTTTCTTCTGGACAAAAAGTGTATCTTCCTCTTCCCATATGCAAATCAAACTCATTAAGTCTGTAATCAAATCTTACATTTCTAGCATGAAGTTTACTTGGTTCATAGTTACAAGTATCTTAAAGGCAACTACACAATAATTTATTTAGGTTTTAAAATTATTGTATGTTTAAGACACAGTAAATAATAAAATAAGACTTAGCACTTACATCTTAATGTTTCAGAGATCTACCCTGTAGAAATTGGAATTCTTTGAGATGCTTTTGTCCTAGAAGTTATACTGTACTTGTGTAAGCGTCATAACCACAGGTCTGGATCTTTTGGAGTACAAACAACATAGTCTTGTCCAACGTTCTGAGGGCATTCTGAGGGAAGGGTGAAACAAGCCCAGCTTCTACTCAGTTTTTTGAGAAAATGAGAAGCCACTCTGCTAAGGAAAGACACTAGGTCACAAGGTCCATGCAGAAAAAGCACCTGAAAGTCTCAATCATGAAGCATGAGATTACACAGAAATGTGTGTAAGCCGGGTTAACATCAACCTCCCAAAGACTTTTATCTTAATAGCAATTTCAAGACAGTCCCGTCAAACAGAACATGCAATACTTAAAAACTATTTGAGGGCATTTATAGCAAACAGTTGAGCATAATGCAGGGAAGCCCAAGTTGTAGAGGCTGCATTACTTCTGAAACCGGCCATCTCTGAAAGCTAGCTATAGGAGTACACCACCAAAGCTAACTAACTGGTCTTGCAGAGAGGACTGCTTATCAGCTGGGTTTATTAGGTTGGGTAACGGTGTTGCACATGACTGAGCTTTAACATCTGAGTTAGCACCTCCATTCAGCATTCTGTTGTGATGTGTAAATACACAGTTTGGGTTCGTGCATGCTTGTGCATCCACACCAACCAGTGAAGATGCCGTAAGAATAACACGTAATAGAAACACAGACCTACCAGGTTTCCAAGAGGGACATATCTTCAAGGTGCCAGAGACAAACTGAGTCGTGGCAGAGCATGCCAAACGAAATCAAGAAAGGAAAGCCTTCATACATAAGAGATGCTAATTCAATCAGAAACTCACATAGCTAATCTTTCTGCAGAAGCTGCCCACCATATGCATTTGCTGTCAAACACTAAAAAGTCTGTAAAGGTTTTTCAAAATATTTGATTTCAGAAAGAAAGCTTTAGCCTAAAGGACAGCTAAGCAGTAGGGTTAAGTTTCAGTGGGGGAGCCATGAAACTAAGAAAAAAAAATTTGTTAAGTGAATAAACTGGTATAAATTTTGGTAGAACTCTGAGATTGGCTTCACTTTTATGTTGTCCAATAATATGAATATTTTTTACTATTTATGATTTAATATTTATTAGTCTAAGGATTTGTGGATGCAGAAAACTGCTAAAAGATACCAGCTGACATGCATTCAGAAGCTGGAATGCTATCAGACACTGATATCAACTTAAATTTTTTCTTCTAAGAGGAAGCTTGAGAAACTAACGTATTCTTTATAGATTCCTCTTAGACAAAAACTTCCTTGGTCAAGGTTTTCCAGTCATCTGTGATGTGTTAGAAAAGATTTATAATTAGCAGCACTGTGTGATTTTTTTCAAACAGAATAAAAGATTTGGCATATCAGTTGTGCTTTACCAGCTGCGTGAAGTTTAAAGCCTCAGAACCAAGACCCAGTGCAAATCAGGAGACAAACAGGAGATAACAGGAGTTTGTTGTTTGTTTCGTTCTCCCTTCCCCTGACTGTTTTTAATTCCTATGGTGGAAAAAAGGAAATCAACCAAGATAAAGTTAATGAACTAACTATTTATACTAAAGGTACTGTGTATCAATAGAAGGACACTATACCACTGTAAACTCCCATCACCATGAAAGACGGTTGAGGCAGTTTGGGTCTGAGGTGGAAGCTTGCAGGACAGTTGTGCTGCTTCCAACAGAAACAACTAGCTAAAGAATTTCCAGTTATGCACAAGGGCCAGAAATGTATGCAAAGTAACAGTAAAAGACAAATGAATTTGTAGTATTATTGCAATATTAGAGAAGAGGAAACTAAAACCAAAAAAGACCAAATGATTCCAAAAATCAAGCAAAGTCGGGGCAGAGCAAGGACTGGAAGACAGTCCCATCCTTGGCACAGAATCCATTCTAATAGTTCATTTGGATCATTCAAGTTACTTACACTGGTTTAGGGTTCAGAGTTAAGTATTGTTTTACAGCTTAAAATCTTGTGCATCTAATTTCAACTACTTCAGTTTATTCTGTGCAAACTATACAAGACGACTTCTAAACACACGTATATGTGATTATTCAGCATTCTTTTTTAAAGCAATGTGTATTTGTACAGTTGCTATAGTACACAACAACCAAATCCCATATCTTCAGACTTTTGCTGTGTTCTGATAATTAGATAGTTATTTTATCTAGCAGATATTTTTGTTTGCCAACTATTTATACTGGCTACACTCAAAAAAGAACATATACAGCCTTTTCCCTGAACTGCTTGTCTTTGCACTACTTAAAATGCCTACAAATGAGCTGGCCACCCAGACATACTTTGTACTTGTGAGAAGTACACACTTTTAACATGTGATTGATCTTATTTACGCAGAGAACATCAAAAATAGGTCAAATTAATCTCTCCATTTACTATATAGGAAATATAGGTATATCGCAGATGCCCGAGCTTAGATGAGATGAATCCCACCCTTCATGTTTCTGTAATTAATAGCAGTCATATAATACATATAATAGAAAGTTACTTCCAAGCATTAGTTTTCCTGAAGCTTAAAAGAAGAGACAGCAGCTCTTTGCAGAATCATTATGTAATGATTTTGTAGACACATCATGACACTTCTGTCTGATAAAAATATTTGCCTGTAATATTTCATTAAATTTAAAGTTACTGTGTAGCAACTATAAGAAGTTGGCAGCTGCCAAGAGCTGTGAGTTTGCTGAATAGAACAATATTTCTGGAGCCTTGCCCAGAGCTGAGACAAAATTTGACTCATATTCATGCATACATTCGCAAAATACTTCCAAACTAAAACAAGGATTTAACTCCAGCACGAGGTTCTAGTGATATCATGTCAGAGCTAAGGATTGATTATAATATCAATAGAAGCCTCTAAGTGACTCTAAAGAGCTACGGCGATCTTTCCATAGCTATATTCTTTGGGATGTTTGTGACCTTGAGTTCTGTCCTCTCAGACTGCACATGCCTCAAGCCCTGATTCAGTTGTTGGTAGGAGAACAATTATAATTTCAGTACATTTTGCTTCTTCTTCTACTTCAGAATATATTAGCAAATACTGCAGCGAGTAAGAAATACTGTGTTTGGGAAGGTTATGCCTGCAAAAATTTAGAAACTGTAGAAATTGAACTGTGCTAGATCAAGACTAATGAATTCAGCACCTCTATTTTTGCTTTCTTTTCACAGCTAACGAGCTCCCAACACAAAACAGGGACAAAGGATTTAAAAAAAAAAAAAAGAGAGTGACAAAAACAATGAAAGTATATAGAAAACACATGAGATGTACATAATATGATTCTCAAACGCTTATATGTTGCAGCATTTTATTCAATCTTTGTCTGACTTGTCTGTTCAAACTATAAACTTCTGGAGACCTGCCATGTCTCTTAATGAATGCCTCTGCATTTTCTAGTACAAGGGAAGTCCCAATCTCATCTGAGTTTTTTAGGCATCACAATGGTACAAGAAGCAATAAGAAATACCTCCAAACAGCTATGCAACTAATATTCTTTCTTTTTTGATAGTTGATCCTTCCATTTGCTGTCTCATGAGCTTTGTAAACGATAATAATCAACTAATGATTAGTTAACAATAATTAACAAATGAGCAGCATCTTCACACTATGGCTGTAAGCTTTCAAGAAGGAGAGCGTATGTAGGTAGATTGCTCTTGCCTTAGAGTCCACTATTGTAGGTTTCTCTCTTTATTAGTTGGGTAAAGGAGCTAAGAACTATTTTTTTTAAATGACTGAAGCATCGTGCTTTTTGCAAGTATGCCACCATCCACCAGAAGATGCAAGTACTAACCCTACGAATTCAGAGGAATCCCATGAGCTCTAGTATCTCTGCTTCTTCTAGATATGTAATTTGATTCCAAAACCTTCTCTGGATAAGCAAGCAGATTTCAAAAATGCTTGTATTTTTACTGAGAGAGCTTGTTCTACAATCTTTCAGCTTGATAACCTATTTAACTGCTGATCCAGTATTTTAAAAAGTGTTGGTGAATACGAATACAGTGTGAAAGTATCAGTATACACTTCATAATAAATTATACCCTCAGTTTTAGTCACAAGGCTCATATTGGTCAGCTGGATTATAATATTTTGACATGCAGTAATTATGACAGCAGTGAATGGCTCAGAAAGACAGAGGAGGAAATCTAATTCCCAGTGCTGAAATAGCATTTGATTAACAATAACCACTGTAACAAAACATTGTCTTTTATTACCACTATGGAGTAATAAAATAATTCAAGTTATTCTTGTTATTTTGTCTAATTAATATCCAATACAATATTTTCTCTTACCACTGAGAAGCCAGTGTGGTAAAGATATCAGCGGTTTCAGGTTCTTGGAACAGTTTCAAAAGTTCTGGATCAGATGACAGGTCAGCAAGGATCCTTAGTTCAATATGGGAAAAATCTAGCAAATAGAGTGTTAAAATAAATCTCTTGCTCTAAAATAAAAATGTATCTGCATTTGAACCAAACTTTCACAAATGAAAGTGCAAGCCTAGACCATTCAGTCATTTCCTCTTGCTCAACAAAAACAGATGCCCATAAAAAGCTTCTCCTTAAGAAGTTATAGTTCAGCTACAGATCACAAGATGCCTGATTCCTTCATTATCTTCAGGTGTCAATTAGCTTATTAGCTCTTTTTTTCTACAAGCTCCTAATGGCATGGCTTACGTGTCAACTACCTTTAGGACGTTAGTCTGAAACACAAAAAGGAGTATACCTCATACAACATTATTAATCATTTAATGTGGAATTTGACAGCCTTGCAATATGTAATGTCATGCAAAGGAAAATGGAAGGAGAGATCACGAAACTGAGAATACTAATATGTATGAGAACAGTAACAACAGTTACCTTACCTGCTGCTAAAAATGTATATCCTTTGTTTGAAACAAATAATGTTCTTGGAGAAATGGTTACTATTTCCTCTTCTTTTCCTAGAGAGGAGACAAACATAACAGTAGTCCCAAACCCCAATCCAAAAATGCTGACATAGAAAGGTATGGTTGTTTGGAAGGCAATGGAATTCAGCTGCTCAATGATTACTGACAGCTGATAGCATAATAGTGGGAAAAATAAGCATGTCTTGACACACTTGGAAAACTTGGAAATATATTTTTGAGAAGCACATATTATCTATAAGATCATTAATGAATCTGATCAGACAACTCCCAGATAGGCCTATGTGCTGCAGAATGTACAGTGCTACAGTTTACACAGCCGCTGCTCACATAACTTTTCTAATTAAAAGATACTTACAAAAATCAAATGGGCAGACAAAATAAAACTGCTGTCAAAGTTTTTTATTGCCTCAGACTCCCCTTTTATGATCTGTACAATAATGTCTAACAGAGGGACTGAGTAGCTGTGAAATGGCAAAGCCACCCTCATCTAAGAGCCAAGTATTGCAAATGAGCAGCATCTCCGCACTATGGCTGTAAGGCTTTCAAGAAGGAGAGTTTGTGTAAACCACCCTTATATTAGAGTCCACTACTGTGGGTTGCTCCCTTTATTACTTGGGCAATGCTCTTCTAGGTTTTGTTTTGCTTCTCTCTGAGTCATCTCTGCTGAGACCCACTTCCTTAATCAAACACAACGCTTCTGACCAACTGTTGGTGCTTAGTTGCGAGTTCAATCAAAATGACCCAACTTAACTCCTCAGGAAAAGCTTTATGAGCTGAATGCACACAAAACAGTCCGTAGGATGCTTAGTAAAGTTAAGATGCATAAGTTTTCCTCTGGAAAAAGGAACAGTGAGATAGTCCAGGGGAATAGAAAATCTAACAATTTATGAGTATTTAGATCAGTGCTGAAGCAGCAACCTTCTCAAGGGAAAAAACAGCAGTTAAGTAATTGGTTTAAATGCTAATGTATAACTGTGCATCAATGATCTGTTCTTTCATGTTGGAGCTACTGGTCTGTTTTAAGATACAACATTTTATCATATAACTCAGTAAAATAATTAGATAAATTTGCCTTTTCAAGTTAATAAAAACTTAATTTACCTTTTATGTACTGTTTCTTTATAACTCTAACTGGATGTTTAGAGATACCTTGAATGTTCTATAAATAAGAAGAACCAAAATGCTTAGTAAGTGCAAATTTAGGAAAACTGGTTTATGAACAGTTTATAAGAATAAAAACATTAGTGAAACTAATGTCATATAATAAATAAGATTAACAACCTTGCCTTTCAAAAGAAAATATCACACTTCCGTTTTCCGAATATTTGTTCTTCCTTGATTTTCGGGAACTTATGAGAATTATTTGTCACCGTCAGACTTCAAAAAACCTAATTTATGGAGCCTAAAGAACATACTGAGTAACCCAAAAGAAGGTCATTTTCTTTTAACTTGAATCTTTTGGATATGGTGGCAGAAATCTGTGCATTACTTTCAAGCAAATAATACATCCGAACACTACCTTAAGCTATGGGAACAGAATCTTCTCCAGAAGCTTTTCTAACATCTATCTTTCCCTTTTTGAAATGTGTGATAAAATATAGAAGGAGCTATTTATTAAGTACAGCACATCAGCTAAGGTTAAAAGTAAGAACTAAGTTTATTAATGAACATAATTCTGGACTAAGTATAACAGATTACTAGACTTTATTTCTAATGATCTGGGTTCATTTATCTTCAGCAAAGCAAGAAACGTTGCACAGTAGCTTCCGCTATTTTGTGTCATTATACCTCATCATCTAGAAAGGTGGCACATGACAAGAGATAACGCGTTTCAAGCTCAATTTTCATAATTCCATGCAATTAATTTGCAGATGCTTCAGGAATTAGATGAACATACTAATATTATGTAATACTTATGAACTGAGGAATTGGGAATAGTGATATATAATTTCCAAATGAGGATGATCACCTTCTATGTAATTTTGAACACAAAATCATTATTTTTAACTTAGGAGGGATGCAATCAAACTGCAAAAGCTATTGAAATTAAAAGGGAAGTATTTTATCAACATTTAAAGTGGAATTAAAAGAATAACCCCCCCCAAAACAAAACAAGATCATTTCCACATTTTACAACATTTTACAATAGATCATTTCTAGTCTTAGCATCACTGTTAAAGTGCCACAATATATTAAAGCTGAACCTCTGCCACAGCACCACACACAGAATGATAGGACACTACCATATAATATACATCCCATTTTCACAGTGCAAGAAAATTAGGAACACGTCTCTCAAATCATCAGTAGCTTGATACAGAAAAAATAACGTCTTGAATATTTTATTCTTCAGTTTCTAGTAACATTTAAGAACACAGCTGTGTCAGTGGTCATTGTAATGCCATAGCCCACACTTTATGATATATAGCTATTTAACCTGTGCACAGAACTAACATTTCCATTGGACTATCTGATGGGGAGGATCAGTGCTTGTCAGTATGAATAACATGCAATTTAAGTGGCCAAAAAAGCTAACAGGCTCTCAGGACTTGAGAAAATTAAGTCATTTACTATGTGCCTGGACATGAACGTGGGAGCCTAATTTCCCTTATTTTTTAAAAATTTTGTCATAATGTTTTAATTCTGATTTCAGTCAGAATTGGGATCACTTAAGAGACCATTTTACAGCCTTTTCATTGGCCTCTGTATTGGTATTGACATTTACTTAATAAGATAACCTTCAACATGGGTTAAAGTACTGTTTAAAGTTACTCCCACAAATTATTGCTTCTTAACTCTTTAGTTTCAAAAGCTTGAACAAAGTGAAATGGACAAAAATTTATTTCAAAAATCTATCTTACAATGGTAAAATAAATCACTATGTTGCTGTCTTGTTTTCATTGACAGCATATGCAGGAAGCCTGCTTCAGGAAAATTTTAAACCATTTTTAGAAGCGTTACTAATAATTCTGAAAAATGTTATTATATAAAGTACAAAAATGTACTTTCATTTGTAAATTAGTTAACAACTCATCTTTTAAATAAATCTTCAGAAAATAAGTAATTTAAAGAAACATGTGCCCTTGTGCCAAGGAAGGCTAACAGCATCCTGGGCTACATTAGGAACTGCTTCCTCTGTGCTCAGCCCTGCTGAGGCCTCACCTGGAGTACTGTGTCCAGTTCTGGGCTCCCCTGTACAAGAGAGACATAGACATACTGGAGCCAGTCCAGTAAAGGGCCACAAAGGTGATTAAGGGCTTGAGCATGACATACAAGGAGAGGCTCAGAGAGCTGGTATTGTTTAGCCTCAGGAAGAGAAGCTTTGGGGGTATTTTATCAACGTATATAAATGAGAGGGTGTAAAGAAGATTGAGCCAGACTCTTCTCAGTGATGCCCAGCAAAAGGACAAGAGGCAATGGGCACAAATTGAAATACAAGAAATTCCATTTAAACATAAGAAAACATTTTTTTATTGTGAGGGTGGTTGAACACTGGAACAGGTTGCCCAGAGAGGCTCTGGAGTCTCCATCCTTGGAAACATTCAAAACCCAGCTGGACACAGTCCCGGGAAACCTGAGCTAGCGGACCCTGCTTTGAGCAGGAGGGCTGGACTAGCCAACCTCTAGAGGTCCCTTCCAACCTCAGCTATTTTGTGATTCCATGATTCTGTTTTTAGAGGACATTACTATAACTGATTTCTTTATCCCAGTGCCAACCCATTGTCTTCTCCGTACTTCACACGATCTCTGACTGAGCTAGAATCGAAGCACTCAATGGAATGAGACAATGGAAAGCCATAGAAACTCTGGTTTCATTCCCAAGCAAGACTTTTATATGAAATACACTTGTAGCATAACACCATAATAAAGAAAGACAGAAATATTTCCTGCAGAAATTAGCACTCAGTTGGCACATCATATCTTAGAATGCAAGCTCTGAGGCAAGCTCTCTTTTCTTTTAAAATAAAAAAAATTAAAAAGTGAGAAACAACCATACTACAAGGCATTAGAACGAAAAAAGCCCTCTGAGGTAAAATATGACTTGAGCAGCACAGAAGCAAGGATAAAGCAAAATCAAATTCTTATATGCAAGTGATCAATTTTACCATTGTGCGTCTTTTTTCTATACCATTTGTTAAGTCTAACTAAAACTCTTTTCCTTTCTGAACATACTCTAGCCAAGCACTGAATGCATTAAGGTCACTTTGAATATAACAAACAGACTGGCTCTTTCTCCTGGGTCTCCAAAGCTGACACCTTTTTTTGACAGTTGGACCTGCCATGCAGGGACCTGATGCTCAGAATTAATTCCTCATCCCCTGTAAAAATTCAGTTACTCAAATGCATTTTCCCGGCATCCAGTAGGTTGTCAGATCTCTGTTTTTCAGCTAAACTTTTCAAAAAGCATCATGCTGGAAAAGCAAAGAGCATAGGCATGATAAAAAATTTTTTACCATGGACTATTAAAGTTGTAGATTCCTGATGTCGACTCCGGATGTCTTCTCGCTTACCCCCATATTCCAGTTTTATTGATCCTATAATCCATCCTTAATGATCCTGATGTATTCCTTACTTTAGTGTTCCCATACAGCTTACCAATCTTTTCTTGGTTCTGAAAACACCTTTATTAAAAGCTGTTCTACTTTTGTCCCTTGTACCGGATGAAGACAGTCTAGATTCTTGCCTCTGCTGCTAGCTTCTGTATATAGAGCCATTCAGAAACAATGGCAGACTTTATTTCAGCAAGGAGACTCACAAAGACAAAACTGATGGACTCTTGATGGCTCTATTAAAGCCTCACAACATAGCTTTCTCATAAGGCATTCAACTCTTGCCAAAAGGATGCTCTAATGCCCAAGACAAGTTGTGAAAAAAAATTTGTGTTTCTGTATCAATCTAGGGCCTATTTTAGAAACTTTATTTGAAATTAAGAACAGAGATTAAGCTTATTCATTGCAATAAGTGTAGCCATTCAAAAATGTACAAGTATGAATGTGTCATCATCAGGGAAGCTCAGAAACAGCCAAGGAGTTAGATAGAACAGATATAAGGAAGCAGGTAGCCTTTTCCCTTAGAGTTGTTGGCTATATTAGGTAAAGCTATAATGCACATCCTTCCTGATGCAGAGACTAATCCACCAGCTATTACAGTGAGGCATGATGTCAAACTCTACAGCAAAATAACAGATAATAGTGTGATTAATATTGTTTTACTGAGGCTATCAATATCAGTAAAAAGCAAATTCTAGTTGCACTTCTTATATGCAAGAATATTTACTGGGTTTGTGATCTTGTCAGATTCAATTACTCTAATAGAGCCTGCTTCAGGAATTCTTCTTTTTTCCCTAATACTTAGGAAAGGAAAACACAGATTTTCTTTCCTGTTTGAAGAAAGCTCATAGTAGAGAAATTCTAGTTTTATCTCATGAACTGTATGTACCCTTCTAGCAAAAATGTAAGCGTTAAGAAAAAAAATGCCAGAGCTTCTCTTAATAGCATCTTCTCCAGAAAGTTTATGAAAATAATTAGGACACACCTGTTCTCTTTGAACAAAAACTTAACTCTACAAAATGTAACTCAAAATAATGTTTTAAATCTATGGCATCTATTTGATGTCCAGCATTGTATTGCTTCTGGAGCTGTACAGACCACCATTTCTTACAATGATAATAGATTGGTGGATGATGACTCCTTTGAGTTTTATATTCCATATCCAAAAAGTTACTTTTTATTCTTGCAGTATTTTTCCCTCTTTTTTTATGCTTCTTTAAAATTTCTCACTCCTTGTCCTTTTTTTCAATTGTCTTTTCTTGCTCTAAGTGGGTCTGCATATATTGGGAACCCTGCGGGGATAATTTGTGCTCTCATAGCTCAGTTAATTACTCAGAGAAGAAATGTAAGCACAGGTTCAGGGAGCTACTCCCTTAATCTTCAACACTCTGCTTGCTCCTTTGTAAAAGACCAAAGCTGCTGGAGGAATCATGAGGAAAACTGCAGATTGCCTAGGATAGTATTCTTGCAAATGAAGAACAATGAGACTTTGAATCTTGAGGGCACCTTCAACCTCAATTCACTCAATTTAACTGGCACCTCCAAAGTTGATGGCAAGGCACCCATGAGAAATTACACAGCGGAAATATGAAAAATTTGATGATTCATC